AGCCTGCGAAAGGCAAGGGGTCAGCTGGGGGAGCCAAGAGACCTTTTGCAGGCCGAAGTCCCAGGGTTGTTACCCAAGGCTTGACAGGATCCTTACCACAGCCGTGTCTAATGAGTCTTCTCTGTCCCAGGCCGGCCACGTGTCTGCAGACATCCCTGTAAACCAAGGCACATCCACAGTCAGCTCACCTGGGACTCATTTCCACTTCTATGAGTGATGTTTCTAGTGTTGTTTTATCATCACTGCAAAGCAGTGTCCTGAAAGGTTTTGTGTCCACGGGCCTGGCTCGGACACTTGTGCCCCAGCAGGGAGGGGTGCGGTGAGGTGCACTGTGTCTGCTCCTGCACACACTACCTTCCCTGCCTGATGCCATGTCCCAGCTCATGCTGTGGCCCTTGCTATGGTGATCCCTGGTGCAGTGCTGAAGCACACAGGCATGGCCACTGCTTAGGAGGAACCAGTGCGTGCTCTCTTTTTTTTCTGGAGCAGATTTGTCTCTGTTTTCATGTGCTTTGGTGCTACCTCTGGGCCATGCTTGTATACTGCCTAGTGCCTGGAAGCAAGGGCCCCGCTGTGCTGTCCTAACAGTGATGCACACGTGGAGGATGCTGTATGAATGAGCTGGTTCTTCCACACCCACAGATCAGGTACAACTTCAGATTCATTGTGCAGGCTGTTAGTGGGGATGTTTGTGCAGGGAACTGCCAGACAGAAGGAAAACCATGGGGAAGGTGTGACAAGCTTCCCTTTCAAACACAACTCCCTTTGCCTGAAAAAGTCTGTGCTGGACAAATCTCCCACATGGGTAGCATAACTATCCTTTAGACTACTGTATTTGGAGACGGTCTTTCACCAGCCAAATGATCGCTGAGACAAAAGGAATGAAAGAAGTGATAGACAATTGTAGAGACATTAAGGGAAATAAATGAAACCCTAAAAAAATGCGAATTGCATACATTCAAGCGATGTCTGTGCTTCCAGTGAAGCTGAGAGTCCTCCAACAGCCACACTAAAAACAAAAGGAAAGAGTCATTTGGATTTAGAGACGAGCAGGAGTAAAGGGCCATAACATTAGCATTTCAATAGTATTTTTCATCTTTGTTTCTTGTTCTCCACACTGTTTTGTGCCAAGCACGTTGTCAGGGCTTTGGAAACGATCACTGATAGTGCTTTACCGATTCTTGACCACAACCAGCTGCTCTGA